TTTTTTTTTTTTACGAGTTGGGACTTTAATTGTAAATAATTATATATATAATAATGATATACCTCTATATAAGTCTGATTTTTTTAAACCAATATTATGTAATTTTTCTGAATACAAATTATCACCTATGCTTTTATATAATTTATTATAACAAAATTATTATATTATTTTCACGGGTATTTTTTCCATGGTTATTTTTTCAAATTACCGTCAGAGGGACAGAGAATTTTTGACTAATTTTCAACTTGTGTAACACACTAATTGTTGTTTATATTTTAATACTTATCTTATTTGACGTGACAAATCTACGTTTTTAATCTTTGAACATTTAAATTATTAATTATTAGAAAAAATTTAGAATCATATTAAAAAAAAAAAAACACTAATGCTATTCACCAATCGTCCTAAAAAACTTATGAGCATATATCGTTTAATCATTGGTTCTGTCTTTTATTTCATAACGCATCGACATATTAATATTAGATACTCGTTTTCAATAAGGGTCTGTGTTTTTTTAATACAGAAGTGAGTTAACCTAATGTAGAACTTAAGGATAACACAACTACACACAAGGTTCAATAGTCATGTTTTCATATTATGAATTTTATCGTGTTCTCTTGTCGATTTTTTTCGATATTTTAATAAAATAATAGGTGAGCTTGTAAAAGCAGATAAAATGCTTAGACACTTAATTTATTGAATGCTTTAAAATTAAAATATCGTGTACACGTAACTATACGGATCTCGAATAATCAGTGTGGTAGAGATACGATTGTCGAAAATTTCAAGAACAGATGATGAATCAGTTTTTTTTTTACGTGACACTATTTTATAATGTGGAAAAAATAGGAATTGTTCCAATTCCAAATATCGAAAATCGGGTCGTTGAGTGTGTGCTATATGGATGTATAAATAAACGAAAAGTATGATGAGCGTATTCGTTTATAATGCATTAAATAGGTATATGTCTATATGACTTATATAATAAAATGTATTATTGACAATAATGTCGAAAAAAGTTTTTATCACGCTTTTTTATTGTATATTATAGGTATACTTAGAAAATAGATTCAGATTTTCGGTCGTATCTAATCTACAAGTTATTGTTGCCATATAATATGATAATATATTTCGTAATGATATGGTTTTCGGATTTCGRGATCTCGTGTTGACGAAATTACCCACTGCTGAGTGCTGACACGCATTAGTCGCGCCAATGGTGTATTTATGATTTTCTCAATGGGACGGCGAGTAATTTTGTTTCCATTAGTGATAAAAGTTCAGCCATTGTGTTCATAATATTATGCTCATAAAATCGGTTCGAAGGGGTAGACGGTAGTGCAGAAAACCATACTTTGTTACTGGTAGCAGGTTGTATAATATTTTTCTATTTTCTTTACTTATAAAATACCAAAGCAGCGAATTGTTTATATATTGTTACATATTTTAGGTAAAATTKTTCGTCATGCCTATTTTTATTTCTTTATTAACTTCTTCAACTTAATTTTTTATAATAATATGTAACTTAAAAATATGAGTTTAAAGTATAAACAGCGTATCAGCTATAATAGGCGACCAATCCATCAGATACTATCCA